ACTTGACAATCTTCAATATGACAAACGTAATTTGTGGAAAAGAATATATTACATGTATAAAATTACGATAAAATGACAATAAAATATGTTACAATTATTAACTATAATATTAATATTAATATTTACCAACTATTGGTAATATTAATATATTAATTAATATGGTAATATATTATATTGGTGATATAAATATATGAATTATTATGATAATATATTATATTGGTAATATAAATATATCAATATATTGCATTGGTAATATTAACATTAAATATTAACACTTTATCGACCGCTAGCCTATTTATCGGCTTTTCGATTGCCAATGTTTATCGATCGCTAGCCTATTAATCGGCTTTTCGATTGCCAATGCTTATCGACCGATAGCCTATTAATCGACTTTTAGCTATCGACGGTTTTCGCTTCTTTACTGTTTTGTTAGTAGCTGACCTCCTGTATGCTGACCTCCCCATATCCTTATGAATTATAATTATAATAATTATTATTATTTATTATTATTTTTAAAGGAATAAGCACAACACAATGAATAGCGAAAATTTAGCCGGTACTGGGAGCAAATGCGCGCGCGACTAAGCCAGTCCTTACTGAGTGGCAGCCTCAACCACGACCGGACGATAAAGTGTTAATACTGGCCAAGTTTGACTCGATATTAATATTAATATTAATTATAAAATATAACAATAAAAATGAATTCTAAGAACTATAGTAAAAAATCAGTGTTGCACGTATGTGACCGATGTGGCATAACGTGTTAAACGCGAGAAAATTAGGGATCGAGGGTGTGTTCCAGGAACCAGGCAGATTTCAGTTTGGTTAAGAAACGGTCCAGGACCTCGCTGGGGTGTGTTACACGGAGGATCATGTGGAGGACTTCGTTTTATTTAGTTTCTGGAGGCTCTGGCCACGCGTCGTGAAACACGAACGAACCGTGCGGCGAGCGACGCGACGCAACACGACGCGACACGACACGACGCAACGCGACGCGACGCAGCTTTCCATTTATATGAAACTTCCTGTGGGTAGAACACTTACGGTGTATGTCGAGCTTCCATCCGTCCTCCATCTCGGAATCCGGGATATCCGGCACGCTGCCGTGGCAGGAGAGGAACTTCCCGGCGTCCTCTATACTCGGCACGAAGGTGAGAATACTGGTGGTGACGTTGCTGTCGGGGCTCATCTACGGTATAGCTTTCATGAATTTCAAACAGTTTACCAAACGGTTCGGTAATCCGGCCGAGGGAGCGACGCAGAAAAAACAATGCCGGTTCCGTGAACCGCTGGCCCTCCAGCCGACCATGATAAGCGCGGCTACGCCGCCCTCGCTATGTTAGCCGGTCCACCGGAACCTGATCTCATCCAGCCGATCGAGATCTAGCTCGATCTTCCAACGATACTCGGTTCAGCTCTCCGGTTTAACTCGAAATAACAAGCGTCTCTCTTGAAAGCTTTTGCTAGATTGCGTATATTCTAATATTGGGGGTTGCTTTCTCCTGCTGGCTGATTGGTGCATTTTTAAGTGAAATAAGGACTGTTTAAGTTTTTTTTTTCTTTTTGTATATATGACGGAAATGATGCGAGAATATGGATATCCTTTACAAATTTTCCGACTGCTTTTTAGTCGATCGTTTTTGTCATAAATGTATAAGGTACGCGTAGATCATTTTTTTCTAGTGAACTGTTTTTATTCATTTAATATATTCGTACGATGCTCGATGTTTTATATACGTTTTATATAATGTCCAATTTATTGAAGTATGTTAACCCTCTATGGGCTGAATTTTTTTCTTAAATATAAAAAAAATTATGCAACGGAAAATCTATTATTATAAACCGATGTATGGTAATTAAAAATATATTTAACAGTTTAAACAACTTTATTATAATTAATTCGATTTGTAACTTTGAAGTAACAACGGCTTACAATGTTTCCACTTCTGTGCATAAATGCTTAAGCGTGAAATTCCATAAAACAGTTTGAATTTGGCGTTAAACATAGATGTACGTTGCATTTGGAACTGGTTGCCAAATAGTTTTTTCTGGTCTTGAATTTTCCTCATCCGATGATAATTCGGTACTAAATTCATCGTCGCTGTCAATAATATTTATGCGTCGTCTGGTAAATGCTACTGGACGATCTTCATCGGACTCAGAATCTAATAAAGAATCTTCGGATCTATTACCGCTGATGTGTCTAATTCTAATTCCTCTTTTATTTTTATACGATTTTGTATCCATATTTTGGGTATTTGATATATAAATTTGAAAATAGAAGAAAGCACAACTATTATCCTAAATACACTCGAATCTACCACAATATCCCAATGTAACCTGAAAGTTACAAAACTGTATCATATACAAATAGTAACAAAATGATTATTGAAAAGCAAATAAATAAATTGTTATTGATATACGAACTCAGAGCTATTATATACGCTTTTTTTTATTTAGTAAACACCGACAAGAGCACAAATAATCCCAATTGCACAAGATGGTCCCTTTGGTTTCTATCTACAGACAACTTGCAAGGTATTTATTTTGACATTTCAGGTTGATGGTGCAGCCAACCGTCATCAATATTGTTATCGGTTTTTTCAGAAGCATTATATAATTAAGACGTATACATCATCTTGTGAAAAAAACTAAAACTATTTGGTAAAATGTGGATATATTAGCTTGTGACTTGAAAGTTACATGGGCCCATAGAGGGTTAACGTGCAACCTGAAGTGAGTGTCAAAATATTTTCTGTTCAATTAGTGTAGAATCTTATGTTTATGTTTTTTAATATTATATTTCTGTATAATTGTTCGTATAATTTTCATACATTATAATTATTTTTATAATTCTCTGAACAATTTCTTGGATAATTGTTTACACAATTGTTCGTATAATTGTTTGCATAATTGTTTCTATAACTTGTAATATGTTTGGTGCACTAAAGCGCTTAAAAGACGTAAATAAATTTTAAATTCTAAGCTTGAAAGAGCGAAGAAAAATGAGAAACTAATGCAACCAGTCCTCTGTGAGGGGGGCAACAGCAAGAGCTTCAAGGGACACGAGTTTGCGTCAGTGTAACACAAGTTAGCGTCGTGCACATTAGCGGAACTTGGGTCGACTAATTATTTTTAGGCGACGCGATCCGAACTGTAAATCGAACAGGACAAATATTTACGAAGAGCTGGATGGCACTGTTATCTTGGCGGGCCTTGGTGGGGCGAATTAAGGGCTCGCGTTTCACGGGTCGTCCGGTGTACTCCCCCGGTAATGACGATTTAACAAAGATTTACCGTCTGCCGTGTGTTTCTCAGCGTGGTGCTTCCCTTCGACCAGATAATTTTTGGCGTCGGTCTGGCCCCAACAACTTCGCAACCTATTTCGTACGTGGTGCCAGCGCTAAATGGACGGTTCTCTCCTTGCATGCGGACCCACAATGGCTTCACTAAAACACGCGTACACCATCCATTAGTCTCTCTACCACTCTCTCTTCCTCTCTTTCTCTCTCATTTTCATTCTCTAACCGTCTCTAGCTACGCGAGGAGAAGTATGGTATAGTATGGAAGACTCTCCGCGAATAAGTGTTAGCATAATTATTGCGAATTGTGTCGTTGAAGGTGTCAGAAGCGATAATGGAACTCTGCTACTGGCACTCTGATGTTGATAGATCGAATGGAAATCGAACGTAGTGAAACGATAATTCGGATGCTTTAAAAAGATAATTTGGAAGTATTGGAAGGCTAATTTGACAGTATTGGAAAAAGATAATTTGAAAGTATTGAAAGGATAATTTAAAAGTGTTGGGAGGATAATTCGAAAGTATTGAAAGGCTAATTTGAAAGTATTGAGAGACTAATTTGAAAGTACTGAAAAGATAATTTGAAAGTATTGAAATGTTAACTTGAAAGTATTGTAACGATAATTTGAAAGTATTGAGAGACTAGTTTGAAAGTACTGAAAGGATAACTTGAAAGTATCGGAAGGCTAATTTGAAAGTATTGAAATGATAACTTCAAAGTATTACAACGATAATTTGAAAGTATTGAGAGACTAGTTTGGAAGTATTGAAAGGATAACTTGAAAGTATTGGAAGGCTAATTTGAAAGTATTGAAATGATAACTTGAAAGTATTGTAACGATAATTTGAAAGTATTGAGAGACTAATTTGAAAGTACTGAAAGGATAACTTGAAAGTATCGGAAGGCTAATTTGAAAGTATTGAAATGATAACTTGAAAGTATTGTAACGATAATTTGAAAGTATTGAGAGACTAGTTTGAAAGTACTGAAAGGATAACTTGAAAGTATTGGAAGGCTAATTTGGAAGTATTGAAATGATAACTTGAAAGTATTGTAACGATAATTTGAAAGTATTGAGAGACCAGTTTGGAAGTACTGAAAGGATAACTTGAAAATATGGGAAGGCTAATTTGAAAGTATTGAAATGATAACTTGAAAGTATTGTAACGATAATTTGAAAGTATTGAGAGACCAGTTTGGAAGTACTGAAAGGATAACTTGAAAGTATTGGAAGGCTAATTTGGAAGTATTAAAAGTATTGAAGGGATAATTTGAAAGTATTGAACGTATCGAAAGGCTAATTTGAAAGTATCAAAAGGCTAATTTCGGTTGCGAAATAAGCATCTTTAAAATTAGTCTACACCGATTAACATGTGATTGGATACTTACGAGTCATGTTGAGAGTGACGGAGCTGGAGATAGGTGCCACCATGTTGTTGTTGGACGCCTGACAGGTGAGTATCGAATTCAAGTTTTCCCGTCCAAGCTTCTCCAATCGCAAGACATTCCGCACCTTTTTCGCGCCGACAGATTCGTAGGTGTCGTCCAGGAGTGCATTCTCCTGCCACCACGTGACCCGCGGTTGCGGCCGACCTGCAGAAACCGATCAAAAAGACGGAAGTCAGTTAGAGCGATCCTCTCGTTTCCGGCTGGGATTCTTACGGTCGACCCGTTTTCAACGTTAAAAGAGATTCGATAAAAGATCGACCTATCCACCTATCTTTATTCCCTCCCTTTCTCGATACATCGCGCAGCCGTCCCTTGTATCAAGACCTCGTGACTCGGTTACATTTTCTATCTTCGGCATGCTTCAAGAGAAATTCTTTGAACTCGATTCACCGATCAGAAGGAAAGATTAATTTCGTTCCAGCGCATTCAATGAAGCTGATCTTTGAGCTTCTGCTGAATACGAGAAGATTGAATGAATTTGTTTATTTATTTATTTGTTTATTATCGGGTACAAACTCTTTTTGTATAAAGTTCGTTACACATCATATGTAATATAATATTTAGGATTGCATATGATGCAATTGATGAATATCAAGCTTAAATTATGGTTAGAACAATATTTATTTACATTTATAAAAACCCTGTTCAGGCAGTTGAATGGACCGAATAAAGTACTATGCTGTTCCTCTTTTAATGGAGTAAGTCACACATTCGAAAATGTTGAGTTATGCCTTTAAATATAATCTATACATATGTGTATGACATTATGGCGAAATGTTAAGAAGACGAGCGAAATAAATTGTAAAGTTACTATATGTTAACTTAACCTGGAATTATTTTAACACTTAATGTAGTCAGTAAACGGTACAGGTTACCAGCTATCAATAGACCGCAAATTTTACGCATTCATAATCAAAACGATTAGATGAAATATAAACGATGAAAATATTAAAGGAATTTAAATACATCTATCTATTATTTTCAACTCACTGGAAATATTAAATAATTAAAGAAAGAAAGAAATTTGTATCTGCCTCGTCTTTGTTGCCGTTAACGAAAATCATCTAACCCTATTCGTATAATAAATACCGTAAACGAATGTGAAGAACTACAGTAAATTCTTCCTAATTTCCCTTCGACATGTAAACAACAATGAACAATTTGGGAAGAGGAGACACGATCATTCGAGTATAAATTGAGATACGATTATTCGAACTATAAAAATGAGCCGCGAGGCACGAATGATCGTATCTCCTCTTCCCGAATCGTCCATTTTTGTTTAAAGGCTGAAGGAAAATTCGGGAGAATTTTGCGGTATTCGAACGCAGTCAGAAAGAGATCGGTATAATTTTCCAACGCTGATAATCTTTACCGTTGCTAAGAAGTATCAACGATAGTCTCGGCCACATCTAACCCTTTCGCTACGGGCGGGTTCTCCACCGCGGTACTTCGGCTGAACGGAGCGCTTGAATGTTTTCGTACGAAAAAATTTCTCTCCAAAGGGTATTTATAAATAAAGGGTATTCCAGGGTATTTATAACGTCTTAGCATGCGCTCTTTAATTTACAGTATGAGAGGAAATAAAACATTATGCAATATAATGCATCTTATGGAAGGCCACTATAGTGGCCCATAGTACCTCAGTGGCATCTTATGAAAGGCCACTATAGTGGCCCGTAATACTTCAGTGGCATCATACGAAAGGCCACTATAGTGGCCCGTAGTACCTCGGTGGCATGTTATGGAGGGCCACTATAGTGGCCCGTAGTACCTCGGTGGCATCTTATGGAGGGCCACTATAGTGGCCCGTAGTACCTCAGTGGCACATTACGAAAGGCCACTATAGTGGCCCGTAGTACCTCGGTGGCATGTTATGGAGGGCCACTATAGTGGCCCGTAGTACCTCGGTGGCATCTTATGGAGGGCCACTATAGTGGCCCGTAGTACCTCAGTGGCATCATACGAAAGGCCACTATAGTGGCCCGTAGTACCTCAGTGGCATCATACGAAAGGCCACTATAGTGGCCCGTAGTACCTCAGTGACATCTTATGGAGGGCCACTATAGTGGCCCGTAGTAGCGAAAGGGTTAAAAGACACGTGAACGAGCTAATTAGAGAACTAGAAAATTGCTCGGCGACGTTCGAACGCGTTCGTAGCCGGACGGTAACTATTTTAATAAACCCGGCGCATTCTAGTCAAGATTGGATGGTCGAGATGGGAAGAAGTAATAAGAGTGGGCGTCCTCCTGACGATGGGGGAAGAATTCCAGCGGTTATCAGGAAACGAGCAAGGTTCAATAAGTACCCGGGCTCCAATATCCGTTGCCCAGGTGATCGATTGTAATACGTTCAGGTGGAAACACGCGTTCGCGTCTATTGCTACCCTCCTCGCGAGACACGCTCTGGTTATCGCGAGCGAAACGTATTGTAATTCAAAACACAGAGACGGCATGCATAAATTGCCGGTCGGAGGAGCGACCCAAATTTCGTATCGCTTGAACCGTAACCAGTGTTCGCGAGTAACAAATGCGTCTAATTAATGGACCGCAGGTTTTTGCACTTCGAAACATCGTTCTTAATCCTCTGAGTGCCTACTTAAAAGAATTTAGTTAAGTGCTCGCGTTCTTTGGACGCAAATAGGAGAAATGAGTGTGGAGGAAACAAATGGAAGAAGATAAATAGAGGAAGCAAACGTAGAGGAAACAAATAGTAGAAATAAATAAAAGAAATAAATATAAGAAACAAATATATAGAGATAGTAAATAGAATAAACGAATAGAAGATATACATAGATGGAACACGTGAAAGAAACAAATATAGAGGAAACAAATACAAGAATTAAATAGAAGAAAACACGTAGAAAATGAAGAACGTGACATATAAATTTCTGCAATAAAAAGAATGTATAAGATGATACGAGATGTAGATACAACAAATAAAATTCCACTGCATTTTGTAGCGTACGAATTGTTCGTCAAGCAATAAACCTCGCGACACCAATAATTGAACGCCGATCAAATTTTCAATGAAACAAAGAACTGTTTCCGGACGAGCTAAAAATTGTGTGAACAGGGTAGTTTTTTCGTCGGATCCGCGTGGCGTCGTTCTGAAACGGCGGAATGGTTGCCCGTTGACTACGAAAAACGTTGATGCAACGCGAACGCGACGCTGATTTCGAACGCGGACGCAAAGCTCTCTCGTAAAATTGATGCACGTCGTCGATATCATCGTAAAAACATTTCTAAACGGGCGAGCCACGCGCGCGCGCGCGAGACGTTTCTTGCGGGATTAACCCTTTCGCTACGGGCGGATTTTCCGCCGCGGTACTTTCTGCTGAACGGCGCGCTGCGACATCGCTGCACGCTACAAGACCTGTCTCTTATACACATCTAGATGTGTATAAGAGACAGTAGTACCTCGGTGGCATCTTATGGAGGGCCACTATAGCTGTCTCTTATACACATCTAGATGTGTATAAGAGACAGTAGTACCTCGGTGGCATCTTATGGAGGGCCACTATAGCTGTCTCTTATACACATCTAGATGTGTATAAGAGACAGTAGTACCTCGGTGGCATCTTATGGAGGGCCACTATAGCTGTCTCTTATACACATCTAGATGTGTATAAGAGACAGTAGTACCTCGGTGGCATCTTATGGAGGGCCACTATAGCTGTCTCTTATACACATCTAGATGTGTATAAGAGACAGTAGTACCTCGGTGGCATCTTATGGAGGGCCACTATAGTGGCCCATAGTACCTCAGTGGCATTTTACGGAGGGCCACTGTAGTGGCCCGTAGTACCTCGGTGGCATGTTATGAAGGGCCACTATAGTGGCCCGTAGTACCTCGGTGGCATCTTATGGAGGGCCACTATAGCTGTCTCTTATACACATCTAGATGTGTATAAGAGACAGGTACTACGGGCCACTATAGTGGCCTTCCATAAGATGCCACCGAGGTACTGCGGGCCACTATAGTGGCCCTCCGTAAAATGCCACTGAGGTACTATGGGCCACTATAGTGGCCCTCCGTAAAATGCCACTGAGGTACTATGGGCCACTATAGTGGCCCTCCGTAAAATGCCACTGAGGTACTATGGGCCACTATAGTGGCCCTCCTTAACATGCCACAGATGTGTATAAGAGACAGTAGTACCTCGGTGGCATCTTATGGAGGGCCACTATAGTGGCCCGCAGTACCTCGGTGGCATCTTATGGAGGGCCACTATAGTGGCCCGTAGTACCTTGGTGGCATGTTATGGAGGGCCACTATAGTGGCCCGTAGTATCGAAAGGGTTAATAACGTGTCTACTATTTTCCGCGGCGACCGGCAGTCGTCGACCGCGGTCCCGTCAACGGCTGTGCGCGGTTTTCCGTTGATGAACCCGCGAAAACAAGCAAATGTACGATGATACAAATATTTAACGTAGCCGAATGCAAACACGAATTTCAAATTTCGATTTCGATATTTTTTCACGGACCATTTTTTCGCTAGACAGGAACTCGATACGCGCCTGATTTTTGTGTATTTTCCGCGCTTTTTTTCATTCTATTTACGTGTGCCGAGCCAATCAGAGATTAGACGGGGCCGGAGGATTCGTTGCTCGGGGTCCCGTTAACGAATCGCTCGCTGCTGCTTTGCCACGGAACAATTTCGTCACGATTTTCGGACTGTTGTCGCAAAAGTCGAATGGTTATCATTGGATTGCAAAAAAATATGCAAAAGAAAAATCGTCTGCACTAATTGTATGATGCAAGATGTACGTAGACATTTATTACGTTTTTTAATTAATTTAATCAGTTGAAAATAATAGCGCAACAATGTACTGAATTTGATCTACTGATTTCTGTCATAGGTGCATAAAATCCATGGTCTATTAAGTAGCTGCAATTTAAAGCATCAGAAAGTTTAAAAGGATTCAAAAACATCAATGTGTTGCTTTAATCTATTAGAATCATCTATTATTTAATCTATTGGAGAGAAAGAAATAACTTGATATTTACTTTGTACTTATTGAAATGAATGCGGACAATTTTTATTTTGCATAAAATTCCACAGTTTAATCATCATTCGAAGCTATGGTTCTAGAGCGTTTTTCTTTTATGTAATTTTCTTTATTGAGTTTTTAACAGTTTCAACTG